TCCTCTACTTGCATTCGCAAATAGAGAGAATGACGCACCCGTTTCAGGGATTCTTTAGCCTGTCAAGGGAAAAAGAAAAACCATGTGATTAGAAGAATGTGAAACATCAGCATTACTGCCTGAGAAGAAATCTATATATTTAATGTCTCCTTAGGGCAATAAACTATTTAAACTACTAGTGCAGAGGCCAGGTGCCGTGGCTCACACCTGTAATCCCAGCACTTTGGGAGGCCGAGGCAGGAGGATCACTTGAGCCGGGAGTTTGAGGCTGACATGAGCTATGATTGCACTCCACCCTGGGGCACCAGAGCAAGACCCTGTCTCTTAAAAAAAATAATAATAAATAAAAAACAAACAAAACCTGTTAGTGGCAAATGCCTAAAATATTTCCATTTTATATGGATCCTTTTTTAAAAGATGAGTTTGAGGTTTCTAACTCATCCTTATGCTTTTTAAAAATATTAGTTTTTAACAGTTTTCTAGTTTACATCCTTAAAGAAACACCCTGTAACTTACAGTTTCCCTTTTTCTATTACCTCAAAAATAATACTTTACAAGCTGTTATATTTTAAATCTTAAATGCAGTGTCCTATATAAACTAACTCAACATTCCTTAGCATTTTCAGACTGGATCATTCATTCAATGTAAGGAAATCCACAAAATTAAGAAAGCATTATTTTACGTTTCCTACATAATGACTGTATGAAATAAAATATTTTTCTAAAAAGTCTCTTCAATTTGTAGGTGATAAAATTAGAGCAATTTTTTTTAATTTCAGGGATGACTAGTTTAAAAAGTATAGATAACAAAAGATACTACGATTACCAACTATTAAATGAGCATGTATTGAGCAATGGGAAATATTTTTACCAAAACTTTTTGTTATAAAATTACTAAGAAAAATTAAAAATCCAGTTATGCACTGAGAAGTCACCATCTGAACAAAGTTATGAGTGAATTGGGAGGCCACAGATAAATGCTAAGAAACAGATCGCAATACAGTACTCAGAAGCACAGACAGGCTCCTGAGTCAAACTCTTGGGGGTTCATACCATGGTTCCCGCACTTTCTAGCAGTGTGTACCTGAGTGACTTTAAGAGCCTGTTTGCTTATCCGAAAAGGGAAAAAGATGAAGGGAGGAATACTGTAATGATTCTTCTATCTTTAAGGGAAAAAACTTACATGTGCCTTTGCAGAGTTTAAATTCCTTATCACAGTGTTCACCTTCCTAAAATTCTGTTATTTGCTTAGAAACAGATTTTTAATGAAAACTTTTCCTTTACTATCTCAGTCATTTAAGACATCGTCACAGACATATTCAAAGCTATCCCCGTGGAGAATACAGACGTCAAGAATAAAACCGTAGGATATGAAACATCAGATATGTCAACTATCTCACCAAACAATCCCACGATACACAGAAATCTATCAAGGACCAAGATTTAACCTGTGAGGATGAGCCACCCACTGTAACTGCCTGACACTCCATTCTGCCTGCCAGACAAAACCAGCTGTACGAAGTCTCGGTAGTAAGGTACCTTAGCAAGGTCTTCTTTTAACCTGTTGTACTGCTCCACATCAAAATGCTGCTGCTTTGATTTCTTATGGAAGAACTGAAGAAACTGCCTACTCTTTACAGCTGAGTAAGTGTAATCCTTAAAAAAAAAAAAGGAAAAGAAAAGATTACGTGTTGAATTAACATCACGCCTCTGCAAGAAAGATACCTGACTCAGCGACACCAAGCAAAGGCAGGCAGAGTGAAATATCTGCAGTGGCCATCAGAGCACGCAGAAGCCAACACAAATAAAACACTTAGTCTCATTTGAGATCAGCTGCTCCTTTCAAAAGCAAGCAAGCTGGGAAGAGAAATTACACACCCTGGGAAAGAAGGGAGAAAAAGGAAAAGGGAGATTTTTGCAAAATAACTATGAGAAAAAGCTAGAGTTAC